GTGTGGTGGCCTATCGAGATGGTGGTGGATTATGCAATTTTCTGTGTAATATACATAGCTTATTACCCACATAACCCACCTTCGGTCTATTGAGTATTTTCTATAGGGAATTTTGCCAATTTCTGTGTAATATACATTGCCTATTACCCACAAAACCTTATAACTGGGAGACAGGAAAGAAAGAAAAAGAAAGAGGCTTTCTTTGCAATAAATGACATTAATTCATAATCAAATATGGGGAAAGATTTCTCACTCGCAAACGTGGCTCAATCCATTCTTCAGTTTGATTGAAGGGTGGGTAAGACATAGGTAGGTAGAAGTGATTGTTTGATTCTTCCCATTTTCAATAAGAGAAGGAGACATGGAATTTCTTTCTCTTAAGGATCTGTCTGACTTTATCCCTTCTTTCTTTGATTTAGGGAGCTCCTTTTCGTCTAGGATGTATTAAGAATCTATTCTATCTATTCTATCAAGTCAATGTTGCATTCATTCTTTCTCTTCCCCTGCCCCTCGATTGAACTTTACAGGAGAGTGAAAGAGTTCAAGCGGAATGGAACCGGAACCCATCCTTATCCTGAATCGTCACCTATCCTCTTTCTGGTTTCTTTTCTTCACCTATTAAAGAAGGAAGGCCTAGCTCCTTACTCTGAACCCGCTGTAACTCCTCTGATCTTCTCGTCTGTCTGCTTTTCGCAATTCTCTCCTTAACCTACTACTTGACTGACTCATTAACCTCTTCTGGTCTCACAATATAATTGCCCGAAACTGATTTAAGTGATTCAGCTATTGGTCTCTTTCTTCTTTCTCTTTTCTTGACTTCAGGTAAATGGGATAGTAGTATAGTCTTTCTCCTTAACTCAATGACTTATCTGTCCGGTCAACCCCTTGGTAATAAATAGATAGTATTCTCCTCTTCACCTTTCACTGAGACTGAGCCAGTAAGTCAAGACTGAACCGCCCCTCTCCTTTCCAGTCGAGCCGCTTCTTCGCCCCTCTCCTTTCCAGTCGAGCCGCTTCTCCGCCCCTCTCTTCTGACTGCTATTTCACTCTTTCTTTGACTCTCTCTCTGGTAAAGAAAGCTGCTAATTAATTATTGACTCTACGGAGGGTGGAACTCTTTCTTTCTCTTTCTCTGTTCTTTGCTTTCTTGTTTGTATATTCTACTTGCTTTTAAGACTGAACTCCTTGTGACTGAGAGTGCACTGCTGATCTTTGTCCTCTCCTCCCTCTGACTACTTAACTGACTTCTTTCTCTCTCTTTTACGATCGATATTGCCTGTATGGTTCTGTAACTAAAGAGACTGTCGATTCCTTGACCTGATTGAACTTGGTAAACAAGAGTATAGGAGTCTGATTCTTGAATGAACTATTTTACTTGACTGTAAACAAATTCAAGGATGGAAGAGGAGAATGGGGCTGGCTGAACCTTATACTCTTTCTTCTTTGCCCTTTCGGTAATAGGTTAGTTAAAGCTTGCATCTTCTGTTACTTTTCGGTCGAGCAGCAGCTTGGTTGGCTCCTTCCTTTTCCTTGAAGAAGAAAGATTCATCCTACTGGGTCGGTAGGTAAACGGGATATGATTCTCCTTTCTTTCGCTGTCTATAAACTCCAACTCAACTTTAACTAACCCTGAACCTGTGTGCCGCCCCTCTTTCTTATATTATTCCCCTCGCTTATTTCGTAAAGCGTCAAGAAGAATCAACCTTTCCTTTCTAAAGACTAAGAGGCAAGACTCTCGCTGAGAGATAGTTTACGGTCTTTGACTAAATTCCGGAGTTAGAGCAGCTGCTTTAGCTTTGAAAGACTCAACGTAAAGAAGAGGAGGAGAATGAATGAGCCGTAACAGGAAAGAAAGAATCAGACTCGGATATCCCTTTACTGGGTGTGGAGTAAATTCATTCAATCCCGAATCTTATACTCTAGTTGATTATTCCCTTACCTTCTTGAACAAGTAAAGACTGCAAGACAGATAAGATTCGTGAGACTAAACGCATTGGAGCAAAAATCAAAGAAATTCTATCCACCATAGGGGTCAAAGTTCGTAAGACCTTTTTCACTAATAGCAGCATAGGAAAGAAAAGATTTTGTATCCACCATAGGGGTCAAAGTTCGTAAGACCTTTTTCACTCGGTAAAGCTACTGAAAGAAAAATAATTCTATCCAGCATAGGGGTCAAAGTTCGTAATCAGTTTTTCCCTTAATAGCTGCAGCTGAAATCAAATATTTTCTATCTTTCCCGTGAGATAGATTCATTCTCTTTATTTATTACCTACCTTAATTCCTATACACCTCTGTATTTTTTGTATTCGGTAAAGCTCTGTCTCTTTGTTTGCTTACTCGGTTTGGTTTCACTATTTCTTCTCTTTATCTGCCGTAACCTGACCCTTAGCTTCTTTCTCTGACCCTTTCACTCCTTTCCCTGTCGGTAAAGCGTATTCTTTCTCCTACACCTCTTTATTTATTCTTTCATTGGGTAAAGCAAGGATTAAAGAAAAAGGGAAAGCCGAAAGAAGATGCGTTCTCCTTGACTCGTAACCTATTCTATTGATTGATTGATTCTTGATCCTTCCCCTGCCCCTCTCCCCCTCGGTCGAGCTGTTTCACCCCTCTACAACAAGTCAAGACTCCTTATGCATTCTCCTCAATTCCTTGCAGCTCAATCACCTATCCTGACAAGTGAAATCAGGGAGGGTAGAGTCAATTCATATTCACTACTGAACCTACACCTGAACTTGCCAGTCGAGTCAATTCCTATTCAATCCTGTAAACTCCTTACAGTCTCGCTGCTTCTTCCTTCCCTTCCTCTCAGATAGATGATTTTCTGACTCTCATCCAGGTAAGTAATTAGTTTGCCATTAGAGAGAGTGAGTTTTTCTTTCATTTGATTCTGATTCCACTTCTACTTCTATCTTCACTACCTTTTTGTTCTTCCTTCTTTCATATATATGACTGTAACAACTTATTCTAAGCCAAGCGGGAATGGCCTCTGTCTTCGTCTTCTTCCTTTCCCTCTTCTCTACACCCTTAGAAGTCAGAAAAAGGGTCAGTGGTTAGCACGAGAGCTCCGTAATCTATTCTATTGGTCTCACTGCTGAGCTCCGTAACCTATTTACCTCGTTCAAGCAAGAAGGTTCAGTCTCATAATTGCTTTAGAGTGAAAGCAAGAAGGGAGAGGGCGGGCGGAGGAGGAGAATATGCTTTCCCTTGTGTTTGAAAAGAGCTACTGAACTTGCCAGTCGAGTCAATGAATGAAATCCTTTACGGGAAAGAAAAGAAAATGAATTGATGGAAGAAGAAAATGAAAGATTAATTATCATCAGCCTTTATTCCCTTCTCTGATGGAACTGTAAAGACTATCGATTCCTTCTCCTTCTGAACGAACCAACCAGATTGAACGAGGTCTCTTTGAACAAGGTCTCTTCTCTTTGCTCCTTAACCTTATACTCTTTCTTCTTTAACTGATCTTTCTCCTTGTGTTCCTATTCAATCCTTTTCCCAAACTGGGCTTAACTCATGAACCTTTCCTTCTTTCCCTCGGTAAATAGAATAGGTGTTGAACTGGGTGTCGGTGTCTTCTCTGTTCTTTCCTTCACCTTCAAAGACTGTAAACGAATCAAAGCTTCACACAATTCCATTCCCTGAGCTACTTCTGGCCCCGATATTCCCTATTGGCCATTTCAGTCGGTAAAGCAATTCCATTAATGATCCTTTATTACAGTCTCACAATTCCATTTCCTTCCCCGAGAGCTACTGACTGAGGACCCTATTCAAACAATGAATTCAATCCTCAAGAAGAAGAAATTCGACTTAACTGTAAGGAAAGACGAAAGAAGAAGAAATGAGAGTGAACAGGAAGGAAAGAAGAAATGAGAGTGAACTGTAAGTCAATCCTCATTCTTCCTTCTATCTCCCCCTTATTTTTAGGGATAAAAGGGAGGTCTTTAGGGCAGAGGTAATTAGGAAGTCAATCCTATCGAAGAATCAATGATCGTTAACTGTCAGTCAATCCTCATTCTTCCTTCTTGATCTTGATCTTCTCCTTCTTTCACTCTTTCACTCGGTCTCGCTCCTTCACCCCTCTCCAACAACTATCAGCTTCTCTCCTTCATCACCAGATGGAGCTGTAAAGACTGAAGCAAGACAAGATTCATTCTCCCTTACAGTCAGTCTCGCTACTTACTCCTATTAATTATCATGAACCTCGTAAACAAGACAAGGGTTTAACTATCTCTTTATAAGTCTGGTTTAAGGAAAGATTTGAGAGACAGAAGAGAAAGTCAAGCCGAAAGAAGAATGAGAGTTTATTACGAACTCCTTTTCGTATTTCTTCACGAGGTAAAGCCTATTCAATGAATTGACTCTACGATAGATATTACCTGACCTGATATAGTCTCGTAAATGAATGAAATGAAAGAGAAACTTATGAACAGGAAGTCAAGATGAAACGGAACTCCGGAACCTGACCCTGCCCCTCTCCCTTCGGTCTCGCCCTTTGGCCGAGCTCTTTTCACCCCTCGGCGTCGCTTACCTCCTTTGAACAAGGTAAAACATTGTCTTTTCTTTCACTCCTTTGATTCTGCTTGAATGAAAAGACTCAACAAATTCAATCAAGATCAGCTAATTTCCTATTTATGAACTGTAAACAAGAGTTGAACTCCTTCCCCCTCACCTACCTCTCCAACTATCATCTTATCTCCGTAACCTGTCCTTTACAGTCGAGTAAAGAAAAGACAAACTCCCGGGTAAGAAAGCTGCTTGGCTCAATCACCTGTCAGTTGAACAACTCCATTGCCTTTATTTAGAGTTAGTTAGAGTCAGTAAAAGATAAAGAAGATGATCGTAACCCGTTGTTGTCCTCTCCCTGTCTCATTGCTTCGCTCCGTAACCTTCTACTCTATTTCCTTCTTCCGTTATTGTTCTGTTATTCTTGCTTTCAGGAACAGTAAACAAAGACTGAAGTGAAGATGCATTATACTGGTTGAAGGCGGGAAAGACTATTCTTTCTCTTTTCTCCTTTCTTTCAGAGTCAACTCCTGAACAGGAAGTCAAGACGTAACAAGAAGGAAAGACTGGTTGGGGCTCCTTGGGAGGAAGAATCTACATCGATCACAATGCGAGCAACAAGGTAAGGTAATTGTTGGTGTTTGAAGGGGGAATCCAATGAAAGATGAATAAGACCTCACTCCTCTCCTTTCCGGTCTCTAAGCTTTCGCTCCTTTTACCGAGAATAAGATGAAAGAGAAGACAGACCCGTAAGTCAAGCCGAAAGAAGAATTCTCCGTAACCTTTCCATGAGAGGAAATTCATTAGCAGTAGCAGCGGACTAAACTTTTTATTCGTTATCCTTCACTCAATCACCTTCTTTGTACTGTGTACTGTAAGAAAAGAGATTCATTCTTAACTACTGAAGGAACCTGATTGAAGAAGTTTACAGTGTTTTAAGGGAGAAGATCAAGGAAAGACTGAACTACTGAACCTGAAGCTATTTATTCTGGAACTGTAAGTGACCAAAGAGTAAAGTGAAACCCTCTCCTTTGTCGAGCTGCTGCGCTCCTTCCTTCACCTATTGATTATTCAAAGACTGATCTTTCTCCTTTCTTTCTTGCTTGAACTCGGTAAATAGGCTTGCTTCTCTCCCATCCCGAACCTTTTCCTTATGGTCTCATTGCTTCTCTCCGTAACCTAATACTCTCTTAATATTTATACCTATTCGCTCATTCACCTATCAGTAAAGCAATTCAATCTACTGAACCTGACGAGTAGAGTTAATTCATTAGCAGCTTATCGAGAGCAGCTTGTCGAGCTACTTACTCCTTTACCTAAACCTATACAGTCGAGTCAATTCAATCTGGAACCATAATCTGATTTCAACTCCTTTATTTACAGTGAATAAATAGAAAAAGACTAGAAACAGGAGCTGCATGAGAAGACCCTATGTTTGAAATGGAATTGTTCAACCAACAGCTGAATGGAAAACCGAAACTAAAGAGGAATTATCTATCCTTCCTCTCCAACTCGCCTTCTTCCTGATCCGGGCGGGGAACCTACCTTTACAGAATCTAATGTAAAGATGAATGATCCCACCCACTCCTCTCCTTTACAGTCTTTGTTTGAATCAATGAATTAGCAGTAGCAGCTTTGAAAGACTAAACTCAAGACTCATTATCCTGAACTACTGAACCTGACCTTCGTAAACAAATCTGTACTCCTTATGAATGAGACTCAACAAGATTCTCCTTTTCCTATTACTGATTGAACGATTTATTTACTATTCTTTCAGAAGGTAAAGCATATTCTTTTTCTTTCTCCTGAGCTACTGTCCCTGATGGAACTCTTGAACTCGGGAAAGCTATTTGCTTGAAGAACCTTTACAGTCTCTTGTTCTAGTAAAGAAAGAACACTAGGAGTTCAGTCGAATTGAAAGCACGAAAGACGGATGCATGCCTTGCCTCATTATCCATTCCCGATACCCCCTTACCTTTATTATATTATTACAGACAACTCTTTATCCTTTCTTTTCTTTATTACAGACAGCTCTTTCCACAGACAGACAGCTCTATTACAGACAGCTCTTTCCCCTACCGCTCTTCCCCCTTTAACTCTTTCTCACCTTTCCTTCCCTCTGAGCTCCGTAACCTTGACTTTACAGTCGGGTAAGATAGAACAGTCAGTCAAGACTGAACCTCATCAAACCTTTTCCCTTCTTTCACAGTAAACTCCTTCCCTCAACCTGCCCCCCTCTCCAACTAGCAGCTTCTTTCTCTAAGGAACGGAACAGTGCACCAACCCACTCTACTTACGGCACAACAGATTCCCTGAAACTAATAGAGTGGCTTCCTTCGCTCCTTTTCCCTATTTATTCACTGCTGTAAACTAACTAAGACTCTCAACTCCTTATTCTATAGACAGATGGAACTCGTAAACTACCAGCTTCTCTCCTACACCGGAACCGATAGGACCTGAACTTGATTGACAGTTAGTTAAAGAATCAAGGGAGAATCAGAATCAGATATTTTTTTACATGAGGAGAGTCCCCATTCAGATTCAATCCTGTAAACGAAGAAACTAAATGAGCTTCTCTTTCACCTGAGCCTTCAAACACTCTTTTACATAGGTAGGGCGCATTTGCTTTTCTTACTCAAAGAATGAATTTACTCGACTGACTGTAAACACTCCTTATTCAATTACTGAGAGTGAACTTCGTCACCTTTGAAGTCAGAAAAAGAGGTCAGTGCAGTGGTTGACACTTTCGCTCCGTCACCTATACTGTCTCATTGCTTCTCTCCTTCCCTTATGTATTCTTATTCTTTAACTGATCTTGCTTGATCCTTGAACTGTAAAGACTATCGATTCATTCTACTTAACTACTGAACCTGATTCCTACTTAACTAGACCTGAACCAGATTAAACTGATCTTTCTCCTTATTACCATCTGTTATTGTGTTATTCTTTCACTATGTTTACGGTCTGCTCCTTGCCTTGATTCCTTCTTTCTCTCCTCAACCCATTATTGATTGATTCTTTCTCTCTCCTTCAACTGATTTAAGTGATTCAGCTATCGGTGTCTTCTCTCTTCTTTCCCTAAACTGTAAAGAGGGAATCTTAGCTCAAAGACTGATCTTTCTCCTGAAACTGATTGAATGAGGTTCTCTTTGCTCCTTCACCTCTCGCTTGCTTCCTCGAACCGTAAACAAGGGATGAACTATTTTCTTTCTTTTACCTCCTTTCTTTAACTGTCAAAGATCAATACTCAACCTTCAACCTTTTCCTGGGCCGGCTTCTCTCCTCAAACCTATTTATTCGCTGTAACCTCATTCACCTTCTTACTTGAACAAGGTAAAGTCAAGCAGCTGCTTCATTGACTCTCTCTCCCCGATTGACCAAGGTAAACAGAAGGATTCCTCTTTCACTCGGGCTGAACTATTCGATCACTCTACTCTATCTGAGTCTTCTTCCTTCATCTATCCCCTTCAGTGATTGGTTTGTTATTCTCAGTGATTGTGAGTTATTCCTTCTGGAACTGTAAACAAAGAGTCGAGATGAATCAGACTCTCCCTTAAACCTTCACCCTCTTTCACTACTACTGAATGAGACAGATTGAACTCAAAGACTAGGTAAAGCATATGGGCTCTTTTCTTGAGCGAGGTAAACTTCTCTCCTTCTGCTCGGCTTCTTGACTACTTCTCAAATACGTAAACAGCTCATTCCATATATTCTTCAACAGGTGGAGTTGTTGACACGAGACTCTCCAACTCGGGTCTCACTATTCTTTCCTTTGATTCTGATTGAACTACTACTAAATGAGCCAGATTGAACTCAATCACTATTCTTCAACAAGGTAAAGCATATTCAGCTATTTATTCTGGAACTGTAAACACAGACGAAACGAAAGAGTTGTAGAACTGAACTCATTCACCTATTCTATTGGTCGGTCTCACTGCTGCGCTCAATCACCGGAACACAAAGATAAGAGGAAATGAAAGCGAGAAAACAAACAAACTAACTAGTACTATTCATGAACCTTTGACAGTCAGTATTACCTTATTTATGGAGGTAAACTCGAGGTCTGACTGCTTATACCCTTTACTCTGCATTCTCCCTCCTTCACTGGCATATTCTATTCAATCCTTCTTTCACCTATTTCTTCTTGGTAAACTGATTCACTATTCGATCACTCTGTCTTCGTCTTCGCTACTCTTCTTTAATACTCTCTTCCCTTATTGAAGTAAGGAGGTAAACTCGGTCTCTTCTCTTTGCTTTGATTCCACGCTTGAAAGACTCTTCTCAAGAAAGATTTGCTGTGAGAGTCACCCTGCATGGGACTGATTGAACTCAGTAATGAGGAAGTCAAGAGATGAATGAGACTGAACGAACCGCTATGACCTTTTTACAGTTCAAGAAAGAAGGGAGAGGAAAAAGACTGAACCTAGCCTTTCTTTACACTGTTCGTCAAGGGATATTAAATGAAGACGCTGCTGCTTTGAAAGACTCAAGGAAAGAGTTGTAGAAGGATGAATGATGTAACTCCTTTTCCTTTACTATAAGAAGAATCAGGCTATTGTATTGGCTGCATCTTTCGTACAGTCTCGTCGAGCTACTTACTTCCCCTGAACCAGAAACAAACCTTTACAGAACCCGAATAAAAGAAAAGGAAAGAGAAGCGACCCATATGACCTTCCCTGATTTCAGGGGTTTACAGTGAAAGAATGAATTGATTGAAGACAAGATGAGACTAAACGAACCAATATTCCATTGCCTGTCCCTGATTGAACTACTGAACCGATATTCCCTATTTTGTCTTTCATGGAACTCTTTTACTCTCTGGTAAACCCGAAAGAGAAATTCTCCCGAGCTACTGTCCCTGGTTGAACTACTACTGAATGAACCTTCTTTACTTTGTCTTCCACTCGGTAAATAGACTAATTAATTTACCCTCCTCTCCCGGAACTGTAAACAAACACTAAACTCTCGATTCATTCTCCGTAACCTATTGATGGATTCTTTCTTCTGATGGATTCTTTCCCTCTGTAAATAGGTGTTTTCCTCTTCTGTCCTGTCCTTTGTCTCGTCGAGCTACTTACTCCTGAACCTTCCTGACGAGAATGAAAGAAGGGAGACTCAATTCCTTGCATCGACTGAACCAGAACCTGATTGAACTGATCTTTCTCCTGAAACGTAAAGGGAAGACGTCAGATGAATGAGAGTGAACTTGTTCCTATTCTTGATTTTCAAAAGATGAATGAGACTACTTACTTAACCGATATGACCTTCAAAGACTCTTTTACTCCCCTGTAACCTCGGGTTGAACTATTTGATGGTCTCTTCTCTTTCTGCTTATGAATCAAGTAAAGACTAAACATTAATGAGAAAGAACTCCATTGCCTATCGGGAGAGTGGCTTCGTTCAATCACCTGTCGGTCTCAGAATTCCTTCCATTGCCTGAACCTCTACAACTATCTATCTATCAGTCTGCTTCACTGAATCACTTGTCCCTGATTGAAGAACTCTTTCACACTCGGTCTCGCTATTTGAGGAACCTTTCTTTACAGTCTCTCATAGTGTTTAGAATCAAGAGAACTTAACTGCTCCGGAACCAGCCCCTGCCCCTATTCTTTATGGCAAACCCCTAATACTAATAAAGGAAAAGAGAATTGATTGCTTGAAGAATCCAATGAAAGATTCATTCACCTTCCTCTGTCTTCGTCTTAGCTCCTGGACTAGATATTACTTCTTCACTTTCTTTAACTGTAAACTCCTGTCCTTTCCAGTCGAGCTACTTCGCTCCTTAGCAGCTTTGGAATGAAAGCCGAAACCGACACGACACCCTCTCCCTTTGTTCTCGCTGTTTCACTCCTCTACCTTTACTTACCTTTATTTACTGTCTCGCTCTTTCACTCCTACACCTACTTATTAATGATGATCCGGAAGAGTCAGTCAAGAAAGAGAAGCTAGCTCATGAACCTGATTGAACTGATCTTGATCCTCTTTACTCAATCACCTTTGTTTTCCTGACGATATTACCTGAGCTACTTCCTGACCCGATATGACCTTTATTCCAGAATCAGAATCAGATATTTCTTTCTTTCTCCTTCCGCTTTTCCTCTACTCTATTCCCTTCCCGGATTGAAGAGTAAACGCATTCACCTTCTTTCACCTCTTTCTTCTTTTTCTATTGGTGCCGGAACTAGTTTTCAGGCCATTTGCTCTCGATGAAAGGCCAGAAGTGGAAGTGATAGATGTAGTTATCTTTCTTTGTTTTCTGTCTGTCAATACATTGCTTCTTTCTTTTCTGGCCCTGGGGAGCTTATACCTAATCTACCCGGGA